CCCCCCCCCACCGCACGTGCACAAACACCAAGAAGAGAGAACCAAACACGACAGTACAAGAAACGAGGCACTGTTATAGAAGCGCGGGGCGAGATCTGTCGGCGGCGGAATTGTAGCGGTGGTGTTTGATGCGATATCAATCGATTAGGACGACAATAAGAGGAAACGCGGTACTGCTGGAGTAGCGCAGGGCGAGATCGGTCGGCGAGGGAAATTCTACGTAGCGGTGGTGTTGATGGGACAAACATCATGTTGCAAGACACACCTCTGCTAGCCCCCGCCCCCATGGCCAACCCCGCCTGTGGCCCGTGCCTGCAAGCGTACCGCCACCAATGAGCAACACCACCACATAGGAACGAGTGGATCCTCGAGCTGCTTCCATGCCCTACCCATTCTTACCCCCATCCTGCCCCACCCAAAAAAGGAGCTTCGATGAAGCCGGCCCGTCGTCTGCCAGCGGCGCGGGCGCCAAAACATCCCATCACAAAACTTCGCGCCACCACCCGAGCAAGCCGACCCCCCGGCCCCGTCCACTGCACCTTCTCGTGCCGAAAAACAAGCGAGAGGCTTCGCGGTTTCAGCGGAGCACCACCTCATTCCCCCCTGCCCTGTGTACCAACTCGCTGCTGCCGACACACGTCATGCCGGCGACCGGGTAACGTCGTCGTCAACAACGTCTTCGCCACCCGCGTGTGCCGCGCTGGCAAACACACGGCATCCAAAACACACACAAACCTTCTCCTGCCGCAACCTCCGCAAGGCTTCTTCCGCCTCCGCCGCCTTCTCCCTCTGTTCCAAAAGGTCCCGCTCCCGCTCTTGCCCCGCCGCTGCCGCTTCTTCCGCCGCCGTAGCCGCCGCTTGCTCCGCCGCCTCGGCGCGCTCGGTCAGCACCCGGGCCTTCCGGAGCCCGTCCTCCCTCTCCCTCTCCAGAGACTTCTGCGACGACGACAACGCTTCTCTCGCCGTCGCAACCTCGGCGGTGAGCTCGAGCACGCGGGAGTTCAACGCGGCCTGGGTGGCATTTGGAGGGGGAGTTGGGGGACAGCGCGGCGACGTGGGGAGAGTGCGATGGTGTCGGCCGGAGGACTGACCTCGCTTGTCCTGCAACACTGCCGTGATAAACTAGTCTGCCAAGCCTCTGCCACCAACCATAGTTATGAATATTCAGCTCCTGGGCGGAGAAACGCTACAGACTGACGCCGAAGCCCCCCCCGGCGCAAATAACACTGCAAGCGGGTGAAAACCACGCCGCATGCCTGCCGGAGTACTTCAGCGTCTGCCGAAATCGATCCAGAGCTGCACCGACTCACTTTTATTGTGTCGACGGTAATCTCGACCAATAAGCTACCAAGGGATGCGTCTATCCTCAACGCAACAACAACAACAACAACAACAACAGCAACAACACTGCAACAACAACAACAACAACAGCAACAGCAACAACAACAACAACAACAGCAACAACAACAACAACAACAACAACAACAACAACAACAACAACAACAACAACAACAACAACAACAACAACAACAACAACAACAACAACAACAACCTTCCCACCTGCTCTTCGCGCAGACCAGCAACCACGCCTTCCTTCTCTCTAGCGGCTTCCTTGGAGGCCTCCTCCGCCTCACGCAAACGCTTCTCCAGCAGCTCCCGCTGAGCCCCGCTCTCCTCTTCCCTGGTATCCGTCGCCGCCTCGGATGTGACCCCCGGCATCGTCGCCTCGACGACAGTGGCGGCGGCATCCCCGTCTTCGTCTTGACCCCGATCGCCCCCGGAGGCTTCTTCCGGAGCAGCGGCGGCATCCTCTGCCGTGGATGATGGTGAAACGGCGTCCGCGTCCCTGACCCTCGCCTCTAGGGCAGCGATCTATTAACGCAGGGGGGGGGGGGGGGG